CTCTGAAGAGGCCCGCCCCCTCTGCCTTCCCCCCGGGGACGCGGCGCCGAACTCCAGGTGGAAGGTCCGTGATCGTGAACGTTGTCGACACCTTCGGGGAGGGGGAGGACGGGATAATGACAGGCGCGCCCGAGTGGTGCAGGAACGAGACGGAGCTGACCTGGAAGCAGAGGAGGGGGTCGAACCCCCCTCTCGTCTCCTCCTTCTCCTCCTCCTCCTCCTCCTCCTCCTCCTCCTCCTCCTCCTCTTCCTCCTCCTCACCCTCCTCCCTCGTCCTCCTGCAGATGCTGTCACTCGTCCGTCCTCCTTCTGCTCTTCCTCATCCCTTCCTCATCCTCCTCTTCCTGCATCTTTCTCCCTGCATTTCTCTCCTATCTCCTCCTTGCCCTCCTCCCCTCTCCTTCTCCTCCCCACTCCCCTTGGTCTGCATACTCCGCCAACCCCTCTCATCTCTCCGCCCCCTTATCGCCCCCCTCCTGCGCCGAATGAGAGAGAGAGAGAGAGAAACAAAAAAAAAAAAAAACAGAGAAACCTCCGAGGCGGGAGCGGCTCCTGCAGCACGAGACCCTGGAGTGGTGCAAGGCCCAGGTCAAGACGATCCAGGCCGCGGCCGTGGTGGTCGTCCTCTTCGCCCGTTGCCGTCGTGGTGGTGGTGGTCCTCGTCCTTCGTCCCCTTCGACGTCGTCGTCCGTGGATCCTGTTCGTCCGCCGTCCGCCGTCCGTCGTCGTCGCTCGGCGCAGTCGCCGCTGCCACCGCCGCCGAGCAGGCGGCGAACGAGAGCGTCCCCGACTGGATGGACAAGATCGTGGAGGACGACCGGAAGAGGAGCCCCCAGATCGAGGGTCGAAAAGCGAGGTCTCGAGGCTCGACGCTCGAGGCTCGAGGCTCGCGGCTCGAGGCTCGAGGCTCGAGGCTCGAGGGTCGAGGGTCGCGGGGCGAAGATCGAGAGCTTTCGGGGCGATCTCGTGGCCTCCGTGGGCCTGGCCAGGGCGCGCCCCTGGCCAGGGCGCGCCCCTGGGGGGGGGGTCGACCTCGAGGGGGAGGGCCCAGGGCCCCCCCCTGGGCCGACCTCGAGGGGCCGACCTCGAGGGGTGGACCTCGAGGGGTGGACCTCGAGGGGCCGACCTCGAGGGGTCGACCTCGAGGGGTGGACCTCGAGGGGTGGACCTCGAGGGGTGGGCCTCGAGGGGTGGACCTCGAGGGGTCGATTCCGAGGGTCGGCCCCGAGGGGAGGCCCCGCGGGGCTCGACCCGACCCCGACCTCGAGGGGGAGGGCCCCGGCCGCTCTCCGCGGTGGGCCACCGGAGGTCCGCCTCTGCTCCCTGCACACCTTCCGGCGAGACGGAGCGCGCACGTGGCCCCTCTCCTCCTCCTCCTCCTCCTCCTCCCTCCTCCTCCTCCTTCCTCCCCCCTTCCTCCTCCTCCCCCCCTCCTCCTCCTGCTCCTCCTCCTCCTCCTCCTCATCCTCCTCCTCCTCCTCCTCCCTCCTCCTCCTCCTCCTCCTCCTCCTCCTCCTCCTCATCCTCCTCCTCCTCCTGCTCCTTCTCCTCCTGCTCCTTCTCCTCCTCCTCCTCCTCTGGCCCACGACACGCCGCGCTGGCCCCACGGCCCCGCGGGGGCGCCGTGACGTCGGGAGGGCAGAACGGTGCGCGGCGCAAGCGTGTGGGCACAGGCATGCGCAGCCAGAAGTTTTCCAGATGCTGCATCGCTAAACTGACTGGCGTTGACATGCGGACCAGAAACGCGTCGGCATTCTGGGCCTCCCAGGTGGCCTCCCGGGAGGGCAGAGCGGTGCGCAGCGCAAGCGTGTGAGCACAAGCATGCGCAGCCGTATGCTCCCGATGCTACACCGCTAAACTGACCGGCGTTGACATGCGGACCATCCTCCGACCCCATCTACTCGGATCCCACCTGGGAAGCCTAGAGTTCTAAGCGTCCCAGGTGGGGTCCGAGTAGATCGGTTCGGAGGATCACGCCGCATTGTCGATGCATCGGCGATGCGGTTCGATGTGTAGCCCGAATTTCTCCACGCGGACGTCGCCGATGCATCGCCGACGCGCCGATGCATCGGTGACGGATCGACGATGCATCGGCGATGCATCCTTGATGCGGTGAAATCCTCCCTCTGCTCGAACCCGATCTGGGAGGCCTCTGGGCATACACATCAACGTGTGCACGCACACACACAATGTATACATATACAGCTATATGTATTTATATATGTATACATATACAACAATATACATATACGCTTACATATATATATATATACACATACACACGGATGCCAGAGCGGCTTGCAAGCAAAACCGTGGGTCTCCCGCCGACGGCAGGTTCCCATTGATTCCACAGCTCCCAGATTCCTGCCCAAGTCCCCGAGCTCCCGACCGAGGGATCGGGCCGCTCGGGAGCGAAGGCACAGGCCTCCCAGGCGGGGTCCGAGTGGATGGGGCTGGAGGATCGCGCCGCATCGCCGATGCATCGGCGATGCGTCTGGGTGTGGGGCCCGACACTTTGCACGTCGACGTCGCCGGTGCACTGCCGTCGTCGTCAGTGCATTGCCGATGCATCTACTCCGACCCCATCTACTCCGACCCCATCGACTCCGACCCCATCTAGGAAGACGCCTCCGGAAGGGGAGCTCGGGGATCCCCCCCCGCGCGCGCGCCCTGGTCGAGGATGGGCGCCGCCCTTCCGCAGTTGTTGTTTCCAGAGCTTTGGGCCCGAGGCTCCTGCCCAGAGAGTCGGGCGTTGGGATCGCCATGCCCCCGACAAGGCCCCTCCCTCCCCTCGCACCCCACGGGAGGCGCATTCCAGCGATGCGCCCCGAGCGCCTCCGCGCCAGTTGTGGGCTTGCGGGGAGGTGGTCCCCGGCCTCCGAGGCTCGCATCCGCCGTCCACGGGCCCATATCGTTGATGCTGCCGTTCTGCCAGGCACTCATCTCGAGGTAGCTGCCCCCCGCACGTGTGCGGGCGCTTGGCCTGCGGAGTGTGCATTGCTCACCTTCCCTCTGGACGCACGGCGATTTTCTTATTTCTCTTCTTCCTTCTTCTTATTATTCCTTCTTCTCCTCCTTCTTACTAATATTCCTGATTATTATTATTATTATTAAGTATTCCTCGTCTTCTCCGATGTTACCCAGAAGCCCGATGCGCACAACACGGCCAGCATGGGCGAGTTTTGGACACACATGTGGCCACATGGCGTGCCGGTCTTTGGCCCCTTCTAGTGTGGTCGTGCAGGCCAGGCTTCCGCATGCGCCAGATCCGGGTATAGCCAGGACACCGGATAAGGGGGGCCGGTGAGTAGTGGGGCCCCGGAGCCTCTAAACCGGCCAGAATCACTAAACCAGGCCTGCCGCAGCTGGTGTTTTTTTCGGGCGATTGCAGATGCGGTTTGTGGAACGGGGCAGGGGGGGCGTCCCCCGGCACACATTACTGAACCAGGTCCCACTGAACCAAGTTCTGCCAACGCCCGACAGATGTGAGTCCAGCCATGTGTGGTTCCAGCTTCCTGGTGCATTCCGCCCCCTCTGGAGAGGGGCCAGATGAAGTGGGCGGCCGCGGAGATGAAGAGGCTGAAGGCCGAGGGCAAGGAGGTGCCTCAGTGGATGGACGCCCGGGGGGAACATCAAATGCGTGCACCAGCGCCCCTCCTTCGGCGATACGCGTGCGTATTGCCCTTCGCCAGAGTGACCTTTGGTGCGGGCCCACAAGGGTCCCCCCCAGCATCCTTGAGATCCGAGCGTTGAAATTGTTCCACAAAGGACGTTTTCACTGGTCTCGGGCCCCAGGATAACCACAGATCGATGCGGTTCGACAAATGCCGCAGAAAGACTAGGGCTACGGTCCAGGGCTCTGGTCGTGATGGTTCATGACGCTGTTGTTTTGTTCGCGACGTCGGATTCCAAGGTTGCGCGCTTGCATTTGGCTTCCCCGCGGCTTTCCTGAAGCCGCGCACCACAGGTCACTCTTGCTTAGGGCCACTCATTGCGTGCAGCGGAGTCGTGGCCATGCCATCCTTGGGCCCAAGGGTCGGCGCATACGACCAAGGCGGGGAGGATGGAGGAGGATGAGGAGGAGGAGGAGGAGGAGGAGGAGGAGGAGGAGGAGAGGGAGAAGGAGAAGAAGGAGGAGAGAGGAGAGGAGGAGGAGAGAGGAGGAGGAGGAGGAGGAGGGAGGAGGAGGAGGAGGAGGAGGAGGAGGAGGAGGACGGAGGAGAGGAGGAGGAGGAAGAGGGGGAGGAGGGGAGGAGGGAGGAGGAGGAAGAGGAGGAGGAGGAGGAGGAGGAAGAAAGGAGGAGGAGGAGGAGGAGGAGAAGGAGCAGGAGGAGAAGGAGCAGGAGGAGGAGGAGGAGGAGGAGGAGGAGGAGGAGAAGGAGCAGGAGGAGGAGGAGGAGGAGGAGGAGGAGGAGGAGGAGGAGGGGAGGAGGAGAGGAGGGGAGGAGGAGAGGGAGGAGGGAGGAGGGAGGAGGCAGCAGGAGGAGGGGGAGGAGGAGGAGGAGGAGGAGGAGGGAGGAGGAGGAAGGGGAGGTAATTAGGTGGGGGACCCTGTTCGTGGCCGTGGCGCGCCGTGGCCAGAGAGAGGCCCTTCGCCAACTGCGTACCCCGCTCTCACGTGTGAATGTCCTCCGCCTCCTCCTCCTCCTCCTCCTCCTCCTCCTCATCCTCCCTCCTCCCGCCTCTTTTTTGACTGCCCCGGAGCCCAGCGAGGGCCTCGAGAGGCCGACAAGTGACCGCAGACCTCGCGCCGCATGTGTTGCTTGGCCTGGGGGTCGGCTTTGAGCACGGGCCCGTGGAGCAGGAACCGGGTGCAGGCTGGCAAACCCGTGGCTGCTAAAGCGGACTTCCAGGAAACTGCGATTGCCTTCCGGGAAGCAGCCCGTTTACTATTTAGCGCGCTGAATTTTGTCCCTGAAATTTGTTTTTCTTCCAGGAAGACCGTTTTAGCAGCCACGGATTTACCAGCCTTCGCCCAGCTTCCGAGTGGAGCCGGAAGGAGTTGCATCCCCTCGCTTCCTGGCATGCTTGGCGCGCCCTCTGGGTCTTCGTTCTGGGGTTCTTGTGTCATGATCTTGTCGGCGGTGCCGGGTTCTGCCGTTTTCCGCTGTCGCGCGGCCGTCAACAGTGCAGCCATGCAGGGCATTCCAGAAAGGGCCTCGCCTTCGAGTCCGTAGCCATTTTGGCTCAAGCCATCTCTGGCTCAAGAAGCAATTCCGCAGGAGGCGTAGCTTCATTTATTGTCCCGATTGCCAGTCGCATTGTTCGCACATGATGGCGTCACTCAGTGCAATCCAGAGCGTCGTGGAGGCATATGTCTCCAGCGTCGCACCAACCACGTTGGCCTTTGGCTTCTTGACCCTGGTGCCGTGGAGCTCGCATGAAAAGCCGGCCAACGTGTTGGCATTTGGAGCAGGCGGAGAGTTGAGATCGGAAAGCATTGCCGAGATTGTGGAGCAGCACGACGTCGTGTTGATCGTATCCGTATACAGGACGGAGAGGGAGAAGAGAGGCGTGGTAGGTCTTCTAGACTATCTGAGGACGGCGCATTCCGACGCGGTCGTCTTCTTGGTGCAGCTTCCAGATCGGTTGGATGTCGAGCTGAGCAAGGCCTGCATCAGTGAATTGATGGCGCGTCACAACGATCTCTACAGCTTTGGGGCGGACGGCGTGCTGATGGAGCTGGCAGGTGACCCGAAGGGGTTGCAACAGAAGGTAAGCTTGGAGCTCGTACAGAGAGCCGCCATCCAGCAACGCGTGCAGGCATTTGCTAACGATGTGAACCACGGGGTACCCTCTGCCAGGGATCTCAACATCATCGAGGACAAATTCCGTGGTCTCCTCTGGAACGACATCCCGAACCTGTTGATGCCCGATTTCGCGCCACTGGACAAGCGTCTTTGGGAATGTGGGAATCGGGTCGGGGATTTCCAGTTTGTGCGTCCGTATTCGGATCACCACCACGTGTTGTTGGCAATGAAAGGACAGCATGAACAGGTAGTGGTCAAAGTGCACGACAAGCGCAGCGTCACCGATGCCAAGAAGGTGGAGAGCATATACAAGGAATTCAATCTCTTGACGCACACCCTGGACCACCCACACATCATCCGTTGCGTAGGTATGTTGCATAGCCAGTGTAATGTGTATTTGGTTCTCCAGTATGGTGGAGACGTGTGCATGGAGCAGGTGCTGTCGACTCAAAGTGGCCAGCGCTTGTCCAGGGACGACGCCTTGAACTGCAGTGCCCAGGTCGCGAGTGCTCTGTCGCACTGCCACGCCCAGGACATCGTGCATGGGCAAGTGTCTCTGAGGCACGTGGCAGTAGAGATAGCATGGAATCGGCACCTCTGCCGCCTTGTCGACTTCAGCATGGCAGCCTACGTTCCAAACTCCAGCACAAGGGAGACCCTGTGCGGTTCTCTGCCATGCGTCGCTCCAGAGACGGTGCTGGACGAGCCGTATTTGCCCAAGCCAGCAGACTGCTGGAGTCTTGGGGTGTTGTTCTTGGAGACCGCTTGCGGGAAGGGTTCGCTCGAGTTGTCCGTCCAGTGGTGCCGTGGCGAGTCCATCACACGCGTTGCACGGAAAATTCTCGAGTTCTTCTCCCAGACTGGCTGCCACACCGAGGCGATCACGAGGATGGGTAGCGCATCTGACGGCACAACGCTCGCGTGCTTGGGGGCGGCGTTGAAGCCCGAGCCGGCTCGCAGAGCGAGCGCGTCCGACATGCTAGGGATGCTGTCCGCTGCGCGCACCGAGCGAGCCAGCTTTGATTGATCCGTTGCCAGTTCCCTTCGCACTGCAAGCGCGCCCGCGTCTGAGCCCGAGTGCGTGTTTTTGCGCGACGACCGCTCTCGCTGGACTCATTTTGGAAATCGAGACGGCGCACGCGGTCGCGCCCCGAAATCGATACATAGAGATGTCACGTTGTGAGCAGGGGTTCGTGGGGACAAAAGAGGGAGAAGAAGATGAGGGGGGGCGAAATAAGCAGAGCCCGAAGCGCGCCTGCGGGCCAGCTGATCGCAGTCCGCGCGCGCGTCCTTACTTTTCAACACTGATCGGCCCTGCCTGCGCTCTGAAGATGGGGGGGGGCGAAATATGCAGAGCCCGAAGCGCGCCTGCGGGCCAGCTTTTCCAGCCATCCTGTGGTGTTGGGTCCTCGTTTTGAAGAGACGTCTTGCGGCCTTCCTCTGCCTTTGGTTGGGTCCTTCGCCAGGCTAATTTAACACTGCTCGGCCCTGCCTGCGCTCTTGCGGCGAAGGTTGTTGCATCGCAGCGTTGCTGCCGCTGTCTTTACATTTGAGGCTGGGTGCCGCCGTGTCCAAAAAGCTGAGAGCCGGCAGGCTTTGTGCGCCAAGTTTTTCTCAGGCGCTGTCGGTGCCCACGAGGCCAGTCGAGCGCAGTCCGCGCCTGCGTCTGAGCCCGAGTGCGTGTGTTTGTTGCGCGACGACCGCTCTCGCTGGACTCCTTCGAGAAGTTGAGACGGCGCACGCGGTCGCGCCCCTAATTCGATACATAGAGATGTTACGTTGTGAGCATGAGCAGAGTTTCTGCGTGCGGAGAAAAAAAAAAAGAAAGGGCCTCGCCTTCGAGGGCCGCAGGAGTTGGCATCTCTTCCGCGGCGGAATGGGGCGGAAGTGGGGCGAAAGCAAATCGGGGGTGGCTCCGCCGGTGGAAGCCGGCGGAAAAGTCCAGCGGAAGCCGGCGGGTAGTTACAGACACTGCTCCCCAAAGATTATGCCATTTTGTTCCGGCCCTCTGGGACTGGCCATATGACGTCTGACATCGGGGGTGGACAGAACCCCCAACAGTGACACGTCGATTAGTGAATTGTCCGTTTTCGGTTCTCGAGAGGGCGCCGTGGCCGTTATTTTCCAGTCCTGCGCCAGCCAGGTGTGGGCCTCTGGTCGTTTTCACTAAACCACGTTTTACTAAAGGGAGGTCTGTCCATCCCCGATCTGAATGCGGCCACCCGGGGCCCAGGATCTTGGGCTGGCCTGCGGGCACACGGCCGGACTGCAACAGACTGCAGCAGGGGGGAAGCTGCGAGGTGTGGGAGGACGGCGCACCCTTGCAGCACCATTTGGGGCCGCCGTCACATTTCGGGAGCCCTTCAAGGGTCCTCTTCAGGAAGGCCTCGGATGAGGAGGATGAATCGCCCCAGAGTGTATCGACACGTTTTCAGACCTGAACAAAAAACCTCGATCGCATCCTTCCCCCCCCCCGTTTTTTGCGTTGCATCTTCGGGGGACCCCGCCCGACCCCAAAAGTGGTGTATTGTCTTGAGGTCGAAGCGGGCTCGATGCGGACTCGACGCGGCTATGGCGTGGATCTGAGACGGATTTGGGTCGGATTGGACGCAGATCCGACGAGTCCGGCACGCAGTCGACGCGGAGAGGGGCGCGATGAGACAGACAAGGTCCCCCGAAGAGGCAACATAACGTCCATCCCCCCCGCTGCCGACGTCCACCCCCCGAGCCATGCCGGGTCGGTGTTGGCGCGTGGAGGAGGAGGAGGAGGAGGAGGAGGAGGAGGAGGAGGAGGAGGAAGAGGAGGAAAAGGAGGAAAAGGAGGAGGAGGAGGAGGAGGAGGAGGAGGAGGAGGACGAGGATGGGGAGGTGAAGGAGGAGGAGGAGGAGGAGGAGGAGGGAGGAGGAGGAGGAGGAGGAGGAGGAGGAGGAGGAGGAGGACTCCCCGAGGACTGGGCGGCGGCCGAGAACGAGAAGTGGGGCAACCGCTGGGCGGCCTGCAAGGCCGCGGAGCTCCAGGCCGCGGGGCAGGAGCCGCCCACCTGGATGGCCGAGAACGGCAGGAGCCCTCCGGGGGCGCGCAGACGATCGAAGACGAAGAAACGGCACAAGCATCGGGGCCCCCACGTGTACACCATCACCACCTCCCTCACCCCCCCTCCCCCTCCCTCTCCCAGGAAAGAGGCGAGGAGAAGAAGAGGGTGGAGGAGGGAGGAGGAATCGACGTGGTGGTGGTGGTGTAGACTCTTGGGGCCCGCATGAACATCAACTGGGGGGCAAAGGTTGGGGAACGAACGAAAACATAAACATATAAACTCGGGGTGCGGATTTCTCGGATGCGCGCTCCGCGAGCCTGGGAGAGGGGCCCAGCGCTGATCCAAGAATTCCACGCGGACCTCCGAGTTTTTATGTTTATGTCATTGTTCGTTCCCCTAGAAGGTGCCCATACTGCTACCCTGGCATCGTCTTCGCCTGTTTGGTCCTCGTGGGAGGCCCTTGTCGCCTCGGCTGGATGCGCCTCGAAACACTAGTCAGAACGCACCTCAGGATAGGTCCATAGCGCATCCCCGGCGCGCAGACTTTCGAGCCGAAACAGAAATTTGGAGCCAAGCCCGAGGATACGGGGGGCTTCCATCCTCGATGAGGGTGCGTCCTGATGGCCCCCTGGGCCCAGGGCGCTAAGACAAGGAAGGGACACTACTGTAGGATACGCGCCCAGGGCCTGGGCGTGTATCCCAAAACCAGTGTCCCCTCCTTTTCTGAGCGCCCAACGTGTTCGGGCGGCACTCGGGGATTGGGGGCGAGAACTCGCCTGCGAACTACGTCTAGAGGCAGAAACACTTCCATAGCCAGAAACTTTCGACGGTCCGCGCGGAGGTCTTGGGTCTGCGCTGTGTCTCCCCTGGCGGCGCTTCTGGCCCCGCTCCTTGATCGCAGGCGAGTTCTGGCCCCAATCCCCGAGTTCCGCCCGAAAACCTGGGGGGCTAACAACCGGAAGGGACATTGCTGTGGGATGCTCGCCCAGGGGGCTATTCGGACGCACCATCATGGAGGATGGACCCCCCCCGTATCCCCGAGTTTGGGTCCAAATGTTTGGTCCGCTCGAAAGCCCTACAATGTTGGCGAGTGGCACCGGGTGCAGGTTGAGGTGCGTCGTTTTGGAGGGATCGGCGGCAAAAGGATGGGGCATCGCCATGAAGCGAACGTGTCGTTAGGAAACGGCTCTTGCGTTTTTTGTTGCCGTTCCGGGTCTCTCGGGGCCCTCCCCAGGCCCCGGACTGTCAAACAAGAAATAGACATCGAGAACCCGGCAAGATTCCGGACCTGTCCCTCAACAGCCCATTCGCTGCATGTCAAGGCAAGGGGCTGGCTGGCGGAAGCCAAAGAAGAGTTGGCCCCCCAAGAGACGCCATTTTGTTCGTACTCGGGGCTCCCAGGGCGGAAGAAGCCGTGTACACAGCTGTACATATGTACACATATGTAAATACAGACGCCGCACACATGTGTATATACACTTGCACCTGTATAACACATCTGCACACCGTCTGCACACCGTCTGCACACCGTCTGCACACCGTCTGCACACCGTCTACACAGGTACAGATCTTGCATAACACAGTCTGCACACCGTAGATCGTAACGCACATAATTCCTTTGTCCCCCTCCAAGGCGGGATTATCGACCCCGCTGGAGGGGTGCATTTTACATCTGAGTCTGCCCCATCGTTTTCCAAACAAGAGTTCGTACTATCCCACCCAGGTCGGTTTCGACCCCTCCGACCCACCATCTGTTAAAACAAAAACGCTATGCGCGCACGTTCGTTGGTCACACGTCATCAGTTGCCGAGAACACCTTGCAACAAATGGGACGAGGTGCAAATGCTCGCGTCGTCGCGCGCGCATGCCGTAATCCTTTGAGAACCTTAGGTGTTGTAGGAAACGCACATGGTATTTGCACCATGGGTCTAAAAGATCAGCGCGTTTGCTCTTGCGAATTCTTAGAGAACGTATTTCATCAACCGTCGCCATCGCCGCCGCCCAGGTTTTGCAAGCATAATTGCGGGGGGGTCGATGGGATGATTGCGCGAGCGGTGGAGTAGTTCGGCAGCGCGAAGTGCGCGACACATGCTGCACTGCGTAGATTCCCCTTCTGATAAGGATTTAGAGCCAACCGCCCCCCCCGAGGCCATGATTCCCAGCCCCTCCCGGGGATGTGTAACTTACGAATAATTCTGCCCCATCGCCCATTTTACATATGAAGCCACGATGCCGCCCCAGCCAAGCCGGGCTCGACCCCCGCCCCGCCACCTCTTGCAAGAAAAATTGCGCGCATATTCGTACATCAAAAATCCACAACTTACAACAATCCCATGCAACAAACTGGGCGGAGTGCACGCGCGTGCGTCGTCGCGCGCGCGCACCAGAATCATTCAAAATCCTTAGGTGTCGCAGGATCTTCAGACTCGAGAGTTCCCAAAGCATATTCCAGATGTGTAGACATATATATATATATATGCCGACATATAAACGTACAAATAAAGACATGGTGTTGCACCACGGTTCGACTATAGACGTAAGAGTGACCTTTCGCCGGAGTGACTTCGGTGCGGGCACAGATGGGTCCCCAGATGGCTAAAAGCGAGGCAGTCGCAGCTGCCTGCGCGCCCAGGTTTGGTCCCCCCGCGGCCCCCGAAGAGTCGCGCTCCAAAGGTCGCTCTTGCCCAGGGGTCACTCCTGCGTGTAGCCGAACGGTTCCCCCAATCAGTGCTCGCAGCCGGGTTCCCGGCTCCAGGTTCCCCGGCTCCCGCTCGCTAGTTCCGGGCCGATCTCAGTGGGCGGCGGGGTTCCCGGGTCTCCAGGGTTTGGGGTTGTTGGCCGATCTTCTTATGGGTCGGTTTCGCTATCGATCTCATTACCCACCTCTCTATCGATTCGCGATCGGTCCCACAATAGATACCACTATCGATTTCACAATCGCTCGTAGCGAGATCACGATTGATCTGATTATCGATCACACGGAATCGACTCCACTCTCGGTCTTACGATCGACCTTACGATCATTTTCGCTATCGATCCCACGATCGATCACTATCGATCTCACAATCGGTTTCAATATCCAACTCTCTGGTAAAATTGTAAAACAAAAAACTGCGCGCTTGCGAAGTCTTGAGACAAGCATGGGCTTCGCAAAATGTTCATCAAATTCGACCGAGCGGGCCTTTCGCGCGGGCATGCCGAAATCATTCGAGCGCGCGTGCCTGGGGTGCACGACCCCTGTCAAATAATACCACGCGGGCCATTCGCGCCCGTCGGCCGCGCGCGCATGTCGGACGAGTGGATATCATCGTCACTTGCGTGGTCAGCATCGGCGCCGTCATTGGTCGTGCTGTCGTCATCCCCATCCCCGTCGCCATCATCGCCGCTAGCACCATCGTGTCTGCCGTTGCCGACATCGCCAGTCCACCGCGCCCGCCCGAGCCACCGACTCGCATTGAAGTGCCCGCGCGTCAGCGCGCCCTGCGAGTCGCTCTGCGGACTGCCCAGCGATCCGCGCCACTGCGGGCGCGTCGGTCGCGGCAGACTCGCCGGCCGCTCTGCGCGCCAGCCCGCGCGCGCGCGTTGGCGCAGCCGTGGCGAGGCGCCAGCCAGCGCCAAGCAGTCATGGCAATCGCCGCCTCACGGATTTTGCAAACCCAGTTGCGGATGGGTGGGCGGAATGTGTTCGCGAACAGTGGTGTTGACATCGTCAAGTGTGTCAAGGTGAATGAACTCTCTTTTCTAAGTGAGAATATGTCCCGCCCACCTCCCGGAACTAACGATTCTCATTTTCGTATCTCACTTTACGCACGGATTTGCTTCATCGTCCGCCCGAAATATATTTTCGGACCAGGCAGGCCGGAATGGGCGCCCCCCTCATCCTCTGCACACAGAAATTCGCGCACACATGTTGGTAAACACCAGCAGTTTGCAATAATCCCTTGCCCAAAAAACACGCACTGCGCACGCGCGCGTCGTCGCGCGCATGCCCCAATCCTTGAAAATTGTGGGCGTCGCAAAGATTTTAAAACCGAATGTCCCGAAAACAAATAACAAACGTATGGTTCCGCAGCGCGGTTTTTGATTCAAACAAGTTTGCGCCCGCGCGTTTGTGATTTATCCAGAGAAAACCAAGGGTGATTCAACATGTTCAGGAAACGTAGCACGACGAAGCGAGCTCACCCTTGCGCGCGCGCTGTCGCAATAATCCATTGCAAACAACGGGACGTAGTGCACGCGCTCGCGTCATCGTCGCGCACTTGCCGAAATATTGCAACAACTTGCGGTTTCGTCCGGATCTCAAAATCGAGTGTTCCAAACACACAACATCATATGGTTTGGGAACGTCATTTTTCAGCAAAAAAAAAAAACAGCGTTCGCGCTTCTGTGAATTCTCAAGAAAGCCATCAGGTTGGTCCCAACCATCCTGTGGTGTTGGGTCCTTGTTTTGAAGAGACAGCGACCCGCGTCTCCTCCTCCTTCCTTCCTTCCTCCTCCCTCCTACCCCTCCTCCTTCTTCCATGCGTTTCACGCACCTCGTACAGCGCTTCGTGGCCCCATTGGGAGCTCCACCGAAGGCCCCAGTGCCACCGCCCGCATGCGTCACCCACACCCATGCCGTCACACCCCTCACATTCTTCGTGGCCCCATACGGAGCTTCACCGAAGGCCCCATTGCCACTGCCCGCATGCGTCACCCAAACCCATGTCGGCACACCCTTCACACGCTTCGTGGCCCCATGGGGAGCTCCAGCGGAGGCCCGGGTGCCACCGCCCGCATGCGCCACCCACTCCTATTTCGTCACACCACTCACACGTTTTGTGGCCCCATAGGGAGCTCCCACGAAGGCCCCGGTGCCACCGCCCGCATGCGTCACCCACGCCCATTCCCCATTCCCCTCACACGCCTCGTGGCCCCATGAGGGGGCTCCACCGAAGGCCCCAGTGCCACCGCCCGCATGCATCACCCACACCCATTTGGGCACACGCATTGTACGTTTCGTGGCCCCATAGGGAGCTCCAACGAAGGCGCCAGCGCCACCGTCCGCATGCGTCCGCCGCACCCATTTCGGTACATCCCTCACGGGGTTCGCGGCCCCGTAGGGAGCGCCATCGAAGAAGGTATTCAAGATTGCGGTACTCGCAATTGCATATGGTTGGGTCCTTCGCCAGGCTAATGTTTCAACAGTTTTCACTAAAGTCTGCAAAGCAGGCCTCTCGCGCCGCATGTCGAAATCATTGGAAACGCCCTTGCTCGCGTATTGGGGGGGGGGCGCGACCCGCGTCAAATAACACCATGCGGGTCACCTTCGCAGCTCGGCGGCGCGCGCATGTCAAAGTCCTTCCGAAACCTTTATCACCGACGCGAGGGCGCCGTCATTATCGTCGGCTTGGTCAGCATCGGCACCGTCTCTGGCCTTGCCGTCGTCGTTATCACCATCGTCACCAGCATCGCTAGTATCATCCTCGCGTCTACCGTTGTCGACGTTGCCATGATCCCGCGCCCGCCTAAGACGCCGATTCGCACCGAAACGCCCGCTGGGAAGTGCCCCGCGGTCAGCGCCAGCGCGGCCGCGTCAGCCGCGCCAAAGTAGCTGGCCGCTGCGCGCGCGAGCATACACGGGCGAGCGCGGCCGCAGAGATGCACCATCCAACACCAAGCAGCCGTCGCAATCGCCGCCGCATGGGCTTATGCAAGCCAAGTTGCTGGTGGGTGTGTGGGATGACTGCGTGAGCAGTAGACGTGGCAACCCACTGCGAACAGAAATCCATTGCACCACATAGAGTGCACATTTTGCACCACGTAGACTGCACTCTCTCGATTGCGCGCCGTAGATCGCACAGTATACTTTGCACCACCAGCAACGTCGTTTGGGGTCCATGACGGCGAACACTTTTATGTATACACATATGTGTGTGGCCCCGCTCCTTCGAAGAAGCTGGGGAAGAGGGGCCCTTGGAAGACCGCCCATTGCCACCTCCTGCGCGCCTCCACAGGAAGGGGATCTTGGAATACGCGGCCGAGAAGCAGAAGGACCTCGAGGAGCAGATCGACGAGCTGGAAGACGAGATGGAGGAGGAGGAGGCGCTCGTTCAGGCAGACGGGAACACCACGCTGGCGGAGGAGAAGAGGCTGGCGATGGAGAAGGCTTCGGAGAGGGAACGTGTACACAGCAAGCCATTACAGCAGGGTCCAGTCGATTCGACCGACAGGTGCGATTCGACATCGATGTCGGCTGGCTCATCCCGATTCGAATCCGATGTTCCGACGGCGCGACGCGGCCCGATGTTTCCAGGGCGCTGTTGTGCGTCCTGGCGCGGCCAGTACGATTCGGTTTCGGCTCCGGGCCGACGCAGCCCGCTCTGATGCCTGTCCCGATCCGATCCGGTTTCCCGATCCGATGCTGACGGATCCTGCCGCACCCGCCGCTGCAGCGCCTGCTCGGGCCCGACGCTCACCAAAGTCTTCTCTGGTTTTCGACGAGCAGCGTTGAGATCCCACGGTCTGTGCTGCTGCTGCTGCGGCAAGTGTATCGAAGACGCCTGCGGCGAATCACCGCCACTCCCTGCCTTCTGGAATCGCCAGTGTGGCCGAGCGTTGTGGCAGGAGCTCTGCCAAGCTACCGGGCCATGTGTCCCCCCAGCCGTTGTAGAAACCCTTCGTGGAACACTTGGGAGATGGCGGGGAAGATCAGGAGGAGGAGGACGACGAGGAGGAGGAGGAGGATGAGGAGGAGGAGGAGGAGGAAGGGGAGGAGGAGGAGGAGGAGGAGGAGGAGGAGGAGGCGGAGGAGGAGGAGGAGGAGGAGGAGGAGGGGGGGCATCTTGAGAGCTTCTGGGGGCACTCTTGGAGCCTCGGGAGCTTCCTGGGAGCTTCCTGGGAGCCTTTTGGGAGGCATCTTGGGGGCCTCTTGGGGGCCTGTGGGGGATTCCTGGGGGCCCCTTTGGCCATCTTCGGACGTTCCTGACCCGTCTGACGCCTTCGCAAGCCGTCTTGGGGGCCTCTCTTCGGGCGCTTCAGGGCCGTCGTGGAGGCCATCTTGGGCGTCTTGGGGCCGTCTTGGGGGCCTCTTGGGCCGTCATGGGGCCATCTTGGAGCCTCTTGGGCGATCTTTGGGCGACCTTGGGGGCCTCTTGGGCCGTCTTGGGCCGTCGAAAGGCCGAAAAGACGCATGCGTTTGGCCTCTTCGAGCCTTACTGTAGAGACCTCTTGGAGGCTTCTGGGGCCGTCTTGGAGGCTCCTTGGGGGCTTTTTGGGCCGTCTTGGACCATCCTGAGGCAATCTTAGGCCGTCTTGGGTGCATCTCGGGCCGTCTTGGAGGCATCTTGGGACCATCTTCACCGTCTTGGAGGCCTTCTTGGCCGTCTTGGAGGCATCTTGGAGGCCATCCTGGCCGTCTTGGAGGCCATCTTGGGCGTCTTGGGTGCCCTTTGAGCCGTCTTGGGGTCTTGCTGGGGCCCTCTTGGGGGCCTCTTGGCCTGTCATGGGGCCATCTTGGAGGGCGCTCTTGGGGCGATGTTGGGGGCCTCTTGGGCCGTCTTGGGCCGTCGGAGAGCTGAAAGGAAGAAAATGCAAACATCTTTCAAACATCGAAGGACAACTGATTTTGGCCTCTTCGGGCTTTCCTGGAGGACGTCTTGGAGGCCTCTTGGGGGCCTCATGGCCAGTCTGAGGCCATCTTGGGGCCATCTTGGGCCGTCTTGGAGGCGTCGTGGACCCTCTTGGACCGTCTTGGCAGCCATCTTGGACCATCTTAGGCGGACTTGGAAGCCATCTTGGGCCATCTTGGGCCATCTTGCCCGTCTTGGAGGCATCCTGGAGCCCATTTGGGGCCATCTTGGGCACGCAAGGCGCTGACATGTGCAGCTTGGGGGCTCTTCGGGTGGCCCGCGGGACGGGCCGAAGACCCATGGGGGAGTTCTTTTGGAACAGAGAACCAACATCGAAAGGGTCCAGCACGCGGGGCACCCCTGTGGTAAGCCAACATCGGGCCGGGCGAAAGGGGGGGATTGGGAAAGGGGGGGGTACGAAATCTGCTGCATGCAGCTGGTTTCGGCCTCAGCGAGGGGTCCATTCCTCGATACATGGGCGCCTCCCGGCGCCGGGAGGCGCCGGGAAAATCAGCTACGCGAGCTGATTCTCAAACCCCTCCTTTGCTATCCCCCCCTTTCGCCCGACCCGACAACAGGGGCCGGCGGATCGCGGCGGATCGAAGACGCCTACGGCGAATCACCGCCGCCCCCTGCCTTTTTGGAAACGCCGATGTGGCCGAAAGTTGGACTAGAGCTTGGCCAAGCTATCGGACCATGAGTTCCCCGAGTCGGTTTGGAAAGCTTTCGGGGAACACATGGGAGAGAATGATTATGAACAGGAAGAGGAAGAGGAAGAAATAGAGTAGGAGGATGAGGGTTGTTAGGAGTCTCTTGGGGCACCCTTGGGGTCTGTTGGGGGCTTCTTGGGGGCCTCTTCGAGGCCTCTTGGAGGCATCTTGGGGGCCTCCTTGGGCCTCTTGGGGGCCTTTGGGGGCTTCCTGGGGGTCTCTTTGGCCGTCTTAGGGCGTTCCTGGTCCGTCTGACGCCGTCTGGAGCCGTCTTGGGGGCCTCTCTGGGCCGTCTTGGGGCCCTCTTGGGGCGCTTCAGGGCCGTCTTGGAGGCCATGTTGGGCGTCTTGGAGGCCTCTTGGGCCGTCTTGGGGCGCTCTTGGGGCCGTCTTGGGGGGCCCTTGGGCCGTCATAGGGCCTTCTTGGAGGCCTCTTGGGCGATCTTGGGGGCCTCTTGGGCCGTCGGAAGGCCGAAAATAAGAAAACGCAAAAAACCTTCAAAAACCAAAGGAAAACCAATGAATTTGGCCTCTTCGGGCTCTCCTGGAGAACGTCTTGGAGGCCTCTTGGGCCATCTTGGAGGCATCTTGGGGCCATCGTGGCCGTCTTGGAGGGCATCTTGGGCCGTCTTGGAGGCATCTTGGAGCCATCTTACCCGTCTTGGAGGCCATCTTGGCCGTCTGGGAGGCATCTTGGAGGCCATCTTGGGCCATCTTGGCCGTCTTGGAGGCCATCTTGGGCCAAGTTGGGGCAACAAAGGCATTGACAGACGGATTTTGGGAAAATTACGGGTGGCCGGCGGGACGGGCCGAAGCCCACTGGGGAGTTCTTTTAGAAAAAGAACCAAAACCAAAACCTGAAACATCCAGCACGCCGTGCACCCCTGCAAGCAGGGGGCGGCGGATCGAAGACGCCTACGGCGAATCACCGCCGCCCCCTGCCTTTTTGGAAGCGCCTATGTGGCCGAACGTTGAGGCCAGACCTGCCAAGCTATCGGACCACGTGTTCCCCGAATCGGTTTGGAAAGCCTTCGGGGAACACGTGGGCATCTTGAAGGTCATCTTGGCCGTCTTGGAGGCCTCTTGGGCAAGCTTTGGGCGATCTTTGGGGCTTTTTGGGCCGTCTCGGGCCAGCTTCGAGCCAACTTCGGCCATCTTGGTGGGTTCCTGGCACGTCTGAAGCCGTCGGAAGCCGTTTGGGGGGCCTCTATGGGCCGACTTGGGGCCCGCTTGGAATGCTCCAGGGCCGTCTTGGAGGCCATCTTGGGCGTCTGGGAGGCCATCTTGGGCGTGTTGGAGGCCTCTTGGGCCCTCTTGGGGCCCTCTAGGGGCCATCTTGGAGGCCACTTGGGCCATCATGGGGCTCTCTTGGGGGCCTCTTGGGCGATCTTGGGGGCTTCTTGGGCCGTCTTGAGCCGTCGGAGAGCCGAAAAGGCGCAAATGCCAAAATCCTTCAAAAACCAAGGGAAAATCAATGATTTTGGCCTCTTCGGACTCTCCTGGAGGACCTCTTGGAGGCCTCTTGGGCCGTCTGGGAGGCCTCTGGGGGGCCTCTTGGGCCGTCTTGGGCCGTCTTGGACTCTCTTGGGCCGTTTTGGAGGCCGTCTGGGACCATCTCGGGCGGACTTGGAGGCCATCTTGGGCCATCGTCGCGATTGTTTGAGGATGTCCCGAGCGAAACGGCCGTTTTTGGGCATTGAGAGATGGGTTTTCGGCAATTTGCGGGTGGCCGGCGGGACGGGCCGAAGCCCACTGGGGAGTTCTTTTAGAAAAAGAACCAAAACAAAACCTGAATCATCCAGCACGCCGTGCACCCCTGCAAGCAGGGGGCGGCGGATCTAGTGGCCTTCGGCCCATCCCGCCACCGTGGCGCGGGTTGGGGGTCAGTGACCTCTCAGATGTTTGTTGGGGTCTCTTGGAACGCCTTTGGGGAGTGTCTTGGAGGCAGTCTTGGAGCCTCTTGGGCCTTATGGGGTCCGTTCGGGGGTCTCTTGGGGCTTCTTCTGGGCTCCGTCGGGGCCTCTTGGGGACTTCCTTGGGGCTTGCTGGCGATCTCGGGGGCCCCCTCGGGGCGGACGGCTCGGGATCTCAGATCGAGTTCCCAATCTTGGGCCCATCTTCGGGCCCTCTCGGGCCATCTTGGGCGCCTCCTGTGCCGTCCCGGGGCCCTCTTGAGCCGTCTTGGGGCCCTCTTGGGGGCCTTTTGGGTTGTCTTGGAGCGATATCGGGAGCTTCCTGGGCCGTCTTGGACGCTGTGAAAACCCAAGGGGCGAATCTGGTGTTTTTCTTCGGGGAGGAGGCGATGTTTGCCCTATGAGGTTCTCTCGGGGCCATGTTCGGACGTTTTGTGGGCCCCTTGGGCCGTCTAGAGTCTAGGGGCCACAATGAGCCGTCTTGAAGCTGTCTTGGAACGCTTCGGGGCCCTCTTTGGCCATCTGAGGCGGTTCCTGAGACGCTCTCGAGGGTTCGGGAGGTTGTCTTAATTAGGCTGGCCGAGGAGCTCCCAGGAACCCCCAGGAGCCCCAAGTAGCCCCGAGGATCTCCCAAGAGCTCCGGGGAACTCCCGGCAAACTGGGGGCCTGGGCACTTAGAAGCTCACAACCCCTCTGCCTGTCAGGGCTGCAGGATTGCATGAGCCTTGGGGTACTCCACTATGTGCTGAAGGCACGGTGGCGAATCTACAACAGCAAAGGAACGCCACTGGGATCTGTGCCCAGAACGGGCCTTCCGAAGGCCAGGTGGCGGTGCGCACTCTTCTGTGGTGACGCTTCGTGTTGCGCAGCTCCCCTCAGGTAGTAGTCCTGGCTGGGCTGAACCCGGACCCCGACGTCATGATTTTTTCGTAACGTCGACCCCCAGAGGTCTCGACCCATCTCCTGGGACCGGTTTCTCATCCTGAGTCGTTTTTTGACGGCGCCGAGGCCCGGTAAGGGCCCCCAGAGGCCGAAAGCAGCGGGAAACCTTCCGTCGTGACTTTGGCCATGACTCCAGGGGGTCTGGGAACATTCCTCCTCCTCCTCCTCCTCCTCCTCCTCCCTCCTCCCTCCTCCTCCTCCCTCCTCCTCCTCTCCTCCTCCCTCCTCCTCCTCCTCCTCCCTCCTCCTCCTCCCTCCTCCTCCTCCTCCTCCTCCTCCTCCTCCTCCTCCTCCTCCTCCTCCTCCTCCTCCTCCTCCCTCCTCCTCCTCATGCCCCCCGAATAATGAGCCTGGGCCGATCTCGGCACCCCAAGCCTGGGGCGCGGAGCGCCCCCATGAGACAGCCCGGGGCTACTACGGGGGGGGGGGCCCTGTTGAGGCCAACAAGGGCCGCCAGAGGGGGCTCTCTTCAAACGACGCGAAGATCGGGACAAAATCGGATCGGGACAACTCGAAATCTCTGAGAATCGGCGGGTTTGGAGGATGTATTGGGCGCCGCGGCCGCTCCAGAGCGTTCCGGAACGCTCTGAGAGCGCTCCGGAACGCTCTGGGGCGATTTATCCCGATCCTAGCCCTGTTTTACCTCCCTGGCGCCCCGCGCTGGTGGTGTCGGTTTGCATTTCGTTGTTCCTATGGTACCCGTGCGCAGTTAGCTCTGCTGCGTTCCCCTTGTCACTATCCGACGCCTCGTGCCTTCACGTCGAGGCGAACGAAAGGTGTTGCTAAGTCGGCCCTGTTTTATCTCTGTGCGCGACCTGAGGCCGAACCTCTCCTCCGGCAGGCGGTCTACCGGAAGTCCCCCCACCAGCAGCTCGAGGCACTGCAGGCGGCGCTGGCGGGCGTGGACGAGTCCGAGGAGAGCCGGCGGGCGGAGAGCGGCGGTTTGTTCCGCCGCGCAGCGGCGCCTGTCCCAGAGCGGCGGTGCCCTCGGCGCGCTCGCGGCGAGACGCCGGCGTAATTTCAAGGCGCTGGAAGACCGTCAGGAACGTTTGCTTAGCGCGCCGGCCTACCACGCTGCCGGCTCTGGCCCACCACGCCTCGGCGTGGCACGCTCACCACGTCCCATTGCTCACGCGTCGGCGTCCCGAGTTGCTTCCCAGCCTCCTGTCCCGCGGAGCGGAGCGAGACGCTGTCCGCTTGCACGGCGTAGCGTGTCGCCGTGGCCGCCGCCACGGCACGCCAAGCAAAGGTTCCCACATGTGGGAAGCGGTGGCTTCTGAAGGGGTTCGGGGCTCCCTCGTGGTCATTCTTCCGGATTCCCCCTCGGACGCTCACATGTGGACGCGGTGGCTTCTGAAGGGGATCCGGGGCTCCCTCGTGGTCGTTCTTCCGGATTCCCTCTCAGACGCTCGTGGCGGCGGAGCTGGGCGCAGCCCGGGGCCGACAATGGGGCCTCCCTCCCCGGTCATCGGAGGTTGTTTTTTTGGGCAGGGCGTTTCCCCACCTACCAAACCACCCCAACCCAACCCCGAAGGCCTCAATTTGCCCTCCATTTCCAGTGGGGGGGGGTCGGGGAACGTTGAAAAAACACATGGAACCCGTACCCCCCCCAACCCGAAATTCTGGTCAAATTCGGGTCCTCGGGTTGGGTTGGGGTGGTCTGGTAGGTAGTCAGCGTTGGCTGCGGTGGGCTCCGAGCACGAGCAGCCCCTTCGCACGACTCCGACCGGGAGCCTGGGCCGCCACACCGGCGTGAAGGCCTCCATTTTGCAGGGCGCTGGCTTGGCTGCGGTGGGCTCCGAGCACGAGCAGCCCCTTCGCACGACTCCGACCGGGAGCCCGGGCCGCCACGCCGGTTTTTCGTCCTGAGTCGTTTTTTGACGGCCCCGAGGCCCGGTGAGGGCCCCCCGAGGCCGAAAATTAGGAACATCCTCCCGGCGTGATGTTTTCATTACTCGAGGGGGTCTGCGGTGGGCTCCAAACACGAGCAGCCCCTTCGCACGGCTCCGACCGGGGAGCCCGGGCCGCCACGCCGGCGGCGAGAAGGCCTCCGCGTCCCTAGCGCAGCGCCTGCCCTTCAGCCCCCTCTCCGCGGCCGCCCTCCTCCTCCTCCCCCTCCTCCTCCTCCTCCTCCCCCTCCTCCTCCCCTCCCCTCCCTCCTCCTCCCCTCCCCCTCCTCTCCTCCTCCTCTCCTCCTCCTCCTCCTCCTCCTCCTCCTCCTCCTCCTCCTCCTCCTCAGGGCGCAGGCTTGGCCGTCTTGCAGGAGAGGAAAAAACACACAGGCACGATTCATCTTCGAGCCCCCCGAAAATAGGGGAAGATATGGGGAATGAGGGGCGGAAGACAGAAGCCCAGAAAGTAGGAGAAAAGAT